GGGCCCTTCTGTCCTTCCAAACTTTGGCCTGCTCACCAGTGATGGTAATCTTGGCTGACCATTTGGAGGTGCCATCCAGTACACTCTGTTTCACTGTTTTCATCTGCTGGACATGAGCAACTTTGGTCACAGTGAAGACATCCCGGATAACTTCAAAGATCTCCGGTTTGTTTCGCTCTCTGATCTTCATGCGGTCTTTCATGGCCATGATGATGTTCTGGGTCCGGTCCTCAGCTCCATGTTTAGAGCTTTTTTCTGCAGCCCCTGCAGTATGACCAGAGACAGAAAGTAGGATTAACTAATGTTGTTGTTGCAACCTTTTTCTGTTCCTATGCACCCCATTCTATGATGATAACATAAGCTACATATTTGGTCAGGGCCTTTGGGAGGCTGGCACACTTTTTTCTTGAACTTCTGCCTGATTTGATGGGGCACTACTATACCGATGCTTTATCTAGAAGCAAGCAAAAATACTTCTATATGCCCTGGGCACTAAGGTCTCGACTTGAGGAGGTCTTTCTGAAGCACATGGAACTTCACAGGATTCTCTCCTCATTACTTTTTGTCCCTTATTCAATATATTTTAGTCGTTTGGCCAATGTGAACACTATGCTGAGCATTGGAGTCATCTGTCATCTGAATCCTAAAGAGATAAAGTAAGATCAAAGACTGTCCTCTAAAAATGTTTACGAGAATTCTGTAATTATGGGGAAAGACAATGCCCCTTGACTTAGGATATTTCCTTCTCTGAAAATGAAAGGGTTTCAGGACCAGTATTGTCTACTGAAGAATGAGATGGGTCAGCAGATTTTGTTGGCAGACTGTTTTGGAGATCCCACCCATCAACCTCCCGTACACCCACAGGGCACTCACGCTGCAGGCAGTCAGCATTGAGCAGATCCTGGCACTTCTCATGGCACTTGACACCACACTCGCTGCAGCGCATGCCCTGTCGGGCAATGCCCCAGAGCAAGCCCTCACATTCATAGCAGTAGGTCGGTGTAGTGGCTGTCCAGACCTCAAAGTTGTGGGGTGTGGTGCACGAAATGGGGTAGATTAAGGCCTGTAGAGTTTTCTTATACACATGGGATTTCTGAAAGACAAATACCCCATCACCCACTGTGGACTTTAGAATTCTGTTGGGAGATAGCAGAACTGAGGACCCTGGCTTCCTCTGTGGTAGCTGAGAAAATTCTCAAGTCTGGTCATCTAACAGTTCAGCCTGGCAAAGAGAAGTCTCCAGTGTAATGTGCTCCGGGTCACTGAACATGGCTTTGACCTGAATACTGGGTCTGATCCTTGTCCCAGCATCTGTGCTATTACTACACCCACCACAAATCTGAGTGCTTCAGAAGCATCAGTGGACCATCTCCTTCCAAAGGTCAACGGGAGACTATGAGTTTATTCCCTAGTCTGTACCTTTGCCTAGTCAACTGTGGAAAATGATGACATAACACATTGTTTTGTTAACAATGTGTGCCCAGCACCTTTGAATTTCCAATTAGTATGTTACAGTGATGATCTCCATTCCTCACACAGTGGACTCATAAAAGTCTATGGGTCACTTACCAGGTCTTCATCCTTTAGAGAGGTACGTGTAGACATTGCAGAAGTAATACCTGCTTTCCGAGACTGGACCAGTGACTGCAAGAGAAGTCCTGCTGTCAATCCTGACCACCCGGGCTTGGCAAAGCCTTGGGGGGGGGGCAGTGCTCAGTGACCAAGGGCACTTAACTATAGCTTGCCTCACTCTTGCTATTTCTACTGTGCTCACAGGCACTACCCCTTGGATAACAGATAAGTGTCTCAGGTTAAAATACCAAACTCAAGTTCCTCACATAACTATTCTAACACTCTCAGTGTCTCCTATGATACCTGATGAGTTACTTGCTCCCTCACTGTTCTTAGATATCAAACCCATCAAAAACTCCTTGTTCATAAGAAGGCAAAAGGAAAATGAAAAGTGTAGCAGTAGAGGAAGAAGAAAGTCACTAAGAGCAGGTTACACAAACAATCCTAACAGAGTCCTTTTCTGTTCTAGGTTTTATTTCCCAGCCCCCCACCATGCCATTCTCCCATATCACTGGGTGGCTGTACAGCCAGCAGTCAAGGAAGGAGGGTATCTGGTGAGTGAAAGAGGCAAGGCAGCCTCAATCAAATCACGGAGAGCAGAAAATTAAACACCAAGAGCCAAAGCTCTTTCGGAGAGGGAGAGGGGCCTGCCTATCTGACAAGACTGAGCTTTAGGGTCAGTCCCTGGAAAAGGACATGGTTTCTTCAAGGCAGCAGAGAAGTGTTAATATCTGCCCTAAGGTAAGGATATAGTTGGGAGGAGCCCAGGTGGCCTGGGATGTGGACTCTTAAAGAGAATGGGAGGGTGCTCTGGAGATACTCACCATAGCCTATACAGAGGAGAGCAGGAAAAGGAACAACAAGACGTTAATGCCAGCCCGAGGGCATGACAAATTTCAGAGATGACTGGGTAGTTCTGCTCTAAAAACACCTCCCAATCCCCTCTGCATCCATCCATCAAAAATTGTTTTCAACGTAGACATTGTACAGGGCCCTATTCTACAGCCCCTATTCTAAGGAGAATTATGCAATAA